TGGGAGTCCAGCGACATAGCCATTACGCTAACTGCTGGTTCCTAGCTTGTTTTATTTTTTGATCTGTGAAGTTTTTGATAGAATGTGTTACCACCATTACCAGGATTTATCTTAATTCTCTCACCACTCATATTTTGATACATTGTCATAATTTATAGCCATTAACAACTATCTTCCTTTTATATAAGTACTGTGTAGGTGTGGTCATGTAGCAAATTTTATATTTAATATTTAGCACCAGTTCTTTTGTCAACATCCCTGCATTCATTTCAATGATCTGAAGCTCTTTCACTCATAGATTTTTCAAGAAGGTTTCATGGGAGCAATATATATAACCTGAATTATTTTATAGTCATATGGACTTTACATCTAAAAGTTGGTGTACATGGATATATAAACTGTTTGATGTTCTGTTTTCTTATACCACCCTCAACAAGCTCTTGTCATGCCACGACACCCTCCCTGCAGCACTCTGGCTTGATAGGATCTTGGGCATACACACATGCACCCAGCTTGTTTTCAAAACACTCAAGGAATCCCAATCCTCATGGCTTTCAGCACTGAACTTCAGTTTGCTACCGACTGATGCACCAGGCTGGGACCAATTTCCTTTTATACATGTTACTTTGGTGTTTTTGGCATAAAGCATCACTTCTGAAAATCTTGTAGTTATCTGATGTTTTTCCCTTTTAAATTACTTATTCTTTTTCTCAGGATCCTCAAAGACCCTATTTTAAAATCCAGTGCTCCCCCCCCCCCCCGGCATAGGGCGCATGTGCTCACCAGAGAGACAGACAGAAAATGAGAAATCACCACCCGGGAGGATGGCCACACCACAATCCCTTCACCTCCATTCTCTTCTTGGGATCTTGGGCATGCACGCAAATGTGCCCAGTGTGAATTTCAAGCCACTGGGTTCGGGACTCAAATTGTGGTCAGCTAGGTGAGAGTCCAGTGTTGTAATCATTATGCCATCTGCTGTTCCCAGTCCAGTGCTTTTCAGTAGCCAGGTATTTGCTTTTTTTGAGATTTTTGCTATAGGATGCATGTGCTGGATAGAGAGACAGACAGGAAGCTAGAAATCACCCCTTCCATTCCTTTCAGCTTTGGTGGCTTGGGCAATGTTTGCTATTCCTTGGCGTGCAACTGCATCATTCCAATCTCTGCTTCCTTGTTTACATGCCATTCTCCCTGTGTTTTTGAAATCATTCTTATTTATTTTTTTTTAGGTATGAGATATACTCTTTGAATATATGCTTTTTCAAATTTTTAAATTTTATGTATCATTCCAGAATTATAATTAGTGCTAGTGCTCTATTACAAACACTTAATTTTTTCTTCAGGATCTACAAGTATAAATAAGTTGGGTTTTTCTTTTCTTTTCTTTTCTTTTTTGCCTGTCTTTAATATTTGTCACTTACTCTTCATTGCTTTCTTTTTTAAAAGTTTATTTATTAGAGCCAGCAGGTGATGTGGTAGTTAAGACACTGTATTCTCACATGGCCAACCATGGTTCAAATCCCAGACCTGGTGGCTTGCTATCTCACATTCCCTTCTTTTCTTTCTCTGTTGAGCACACATGTCCTATGGCAAACTTAAAAGTAATAATAATATGGGACCAGCAGATGGCATAATGGTTACATCACTGAACTCTTATGTAGTTGACCGTGGTTCAGGTTTTGGATCTGGCGGCATAAAATTCATGGTGGGCATGTGTGCGTGTGTCCAATATCCTAGGAGGAAAATGGAAGAGAGAGTTTTATTATTGATGTTGTCTGATGTTTTGTTTTTTATTTTTGGTACTACCCTAATTGTTCTTTCTGTGTTTACAAAGAATGGATAGATTTTAAAATTCTTACCACCAGGACCAGCAGATGGCATAATGGTTACAATGCTGAATCTCCCCCATATTTGACCACAGTTCCAGTCCTGGGCCCAGCAGCTTAAAACTCACAGTGGGCATGTGTGCGTACATGCCCAAAATCCCAAGAGGAGGATGGAGAAGGGATTGTGGCATGGCCATCCCTCTGGGGGTTGATTTCTTGCTTTCTGTCTCTGTCTCTCTCTCCTCAGCCAAGCGCATGCTCTCTGTAGCAAAAATTTCTCTAAAAACACAAAAGGCCATGGTATATAAAATTAATAGTAATTATTTAAGACTGACTATGACATTCTTTGTAAATGTGGTCAGTTTTGATAACTGTTGTGTGAGATTGCAAAGAATATATGTTTTTTTATATTGCTCAATTTTAAGATTGTATTTTTTTTTAAAGAAATATATATATATACCACTTGGGCGGGCTTCCCGGCCTATTGGTTAAGAAAACCAAATCCCACATGACTGATCATGACTTGAAACCTGGTCCCAGTGGCTTGAAAAACTCACTGGGTACATGTGCATGTGTACCCCAAATTTGAACAGAATAGAGAAATGGAGGATAGAGGATTGTGACATAACCATGTTCCATTGTGAGAACTTTCTCCCTCACTCTCCCTCACTCTGTCTTTCTAGTACGTGCCCTCTGACAAAAACAAAGATAGAAAAATTATCACTATAGGGAACCAGCAGTTAGCATAATGGCTATGTCGCTGGACTCCCACGTAGTTGACCGCGGTTCGCGTCCCAGATCCGGTGGCTTAAAACTCACACTGGGCGCCTGTGCGTGCGTGCCCAAGATCCCGAGAGGAGAATGGAGGAGAAGGGATTGCGGCGTGACCATCCCCCCTGGGGGGTGATTTCTCACTTTCTGTCTCTATGTCTCTCTCTGTCTGGCTGGCCAGCCCATCAGCCCTATAGCAAAAATCTCTCCAAAAAAAAAAAAAAAGCAATAAAAAAAAAATCACTATACAAGAAGTATCTTCAAAAAGCTCATGGAATATATGTATTATTAAAATACTCTTGGGACCAGGAAGTGGCATGGTGGTTAAGGCACTGGACTCCTACTTGGCTGACCATGGTTTGAATCCTGCACCTGATGGCTTGGGAATCACACCAGGTGCATGTGTATGCGTGCCCAAAGTGCCAGGAGAAGAATGGTGGAGAAGGGATTGTGGTGCGGTCATCTCCCCTAGGGAGATGATTTCTCACTTTCCCTCTCCCTGTCTCTCCCTGTCTCTCTGATGAGTACATGTGCCTATGGCAAAAATCTTAAAAAAAAAAAATCCAAAAACTATGAATTTCAAAAATTTTTGTAACAATAAACTTGTACTTTAGTCCCATGTTACACACACTTTTTGAAGTACTCTTATGTTAATCTACTAAAATTTTAATTCTTTCAATTTTTGCTTTAGATATTTCAAAGTTATATCTTGTGATTCTTCTTTAATTCTCATATGCTGCTATTAATACCATAATTGGGCTGACCTCTGTTGTGGTATTTAAGGTGGCTAGATTCCACATGTCTTACAGTGCAGTTCAAGTTGCAGACCTGGTAGCTTGAGAAATATACCAGGTGTGTGTGCCAGCCCAAATTCCCAAAAGGAGAGAAAGCAGGAAAGGGATTGCAGTGTGCTCATTCACCACAGGGAGTGATTTCTCATTTTCCCTCTGGCTCTCTCTCTCTATGGAGTGTACATACCCTCTAGCAATTGTTTGAAATTCTATGATAATTAGTCTGTGAAATAGTTGGTATTATAATGTCTATTTTATAAATAATAGTTATATATGTATATGTACATACAAATACCTTGTATAGAACAAGACTTTTATGTATCAAATGTTAGAAGGTGAAATTGGTTTCCAATTCTGGCTGAAGAAGAGAACCCATGCTGAGACTAAGAGTGAGAGTGTTAGAAAGTAGATCAGTATACTGCAGAAGGATAAAGAAAGAATTCATAATGAAAGAATGAGTGGCAGAGAAAAAAATAACTTTAGAAACAAGGAAAATGGGGCACTGCTGACCGTATTTCCCATGGTACACCATGGCCTCTCTTTCTCTTGTGGCCCCAGGCTCCTCAGGGGTGACCAGGGGTTTCAGTGTAGACATAGCCAAGTCCAAGAACCACACCACATACAACAGCCCCCCAAATGGCACAGAAATGGCATCAAGAAACCCCAATCACAAAGATATGAATCTCCCAAGGGGGTGGACCTCAAGTTCCTGAGGAATATGTGTTTTGCCAAGAAGCACAACAGGAAGGGTATGAACAAGATGCAGACCAACAATGCCAAGGCCATGAGTGCATGAGCAGAGACCACCAAGCCCCCCATAAAGACAAAGGAGGTTCAGAAGGGCATCCGAAAGGGCAGCACCCGCCAGCTCAGTCAACTTGCCTACCTCGCCCACCCTACACTCGGGAAATGTGTTCGTGCCTGTATCACCAGGCACCTCAGGCTCTCTTGGCCAAAGGCCAACAAAGCGAAGGCCAAGGCCAAGACCAAGGCCCAAACCAAGACCTAGGCCTAAGCTGCAGCTCCATCTTCAGTTCCGGCTCCAGCTGAGGCTCCCAAAGGTGTCTAGGCCCCCACAAAAGCTCTGGAGTAGAGGCCTCTGCCAGTATGAGGACAGAAGGACTTATGACCCCTGGACTGCTCTGTGCCTGGGGCTGATGTCCTCCTGTGCTGTATGTAGAACATACCTGAGTCAGAAAAAGGAAAAAGGAAAATGTGACTGATGAAAGTTATGGTGACAGTCAGCATTAATGTGAATAATAGAATCTCAGAATTAAAAGTGTCTTGTAATTAAATGCAAAATCACACTTACTAATCTTTTTTTATCCTTAGAACCTACCAAAGTGCCACTGCCCTCCTAGATAGTTAATAGATTATTTTTGAAATAAAATAAAAGGCCTATAGTTTTTTGGAGAGACTGCTGAAGTATCCCAGAAAGGTTGTTACTTTTCCTTTGTCATACTACTTTGTATGATTTTGGTGGAATTGAAGTTTAGTACTTCTTTCTTTAAATAATAAGAATTCAGAAAATTGGAATTATGCAACTGAATATTGTGGTGAAAATTCTCAAGCAGAATTTTTGTTAGAACTCTTTTACTTTTTTTTTTTTCAGATTATATTAGAGTATGAAGGAACATCATTTTCTGAGTGGAAGGTGCCAGAAACTTGTTCTATTGAAGATAAAAGGTAAGTGACCAGCAGTTAGCGTAATGGCTATGTCGCTAGACTCCCACGTAGTCGACCGCGGTTCGTGTCCCGGACCTGGTGGTTTAAAATTCACACAGGGCGCATGTGCGTGCGTGCCCAAGATCCCGAGAGGAGAATGGAGGAGAAGGGATTGCGGCGTGACCCTCCCCCCCGGGGAGTGATTTCTCGCTTTCTGTCTCTATGTCTCTCTCTGTCTGTCTGGCGAGTACAGGTGCCCTATAGTAAAAACCTCTCCAAAAAAAAAGATAAAAGGTAAGATTTTTGTGTGTATGTGTATATTTAAATGTAAAAATACCATATAGTGCAGACATTTAGATTCAAGGCTGTGATTTAATATAAATTTCCTTCATTAAATAGATATTTTTAAAAGGCAGTCACTTTGAAAATAGGATACAAGTAAAATATTGCTATATTTTAACTTTTCTCTTTTTAGCATACAATTGAAATTTTTTTCAGGTTTTTGCCGTAGGATACATGTACTTGCCAGAGAGAGACAGAAAGAGGCAAAGTGAGAACTCACCCTCCATGGGGATAGTCACACCACAACCCCTTCTCTTCTGCTCTCCTCCTGGGAGCCCTGGCATGCATGCACATGCACCAGCATGATTATTAAGCTTCCAGGTCAAGGATTTGAACCATGGTCAGCCATGTGGAATTCCATCATCTTACCACAGTGCCACCTACTGGCCCAGGATTGAAATTCTGTTTTTATTATTATTATTTTTTTAGAGGGCTGGACAGCCCTTCTTTTATTATTTATTTACTTATCCTTTTTTATTGTTAGAATGAGCATGTGCTCACCAGAGAGAGAAAATAGTTCCCTATAAAGGCATGTTCACACTTCAATACTTTTCCTGCCATTTCTCCATCCCATCAGGATTTGGGGCAGACACACACACACATGCCTGGCATATTTTATGAGCCTCTGGGGCCAAGTTTTGAACCACCATCAACCATGTGGGAATCCAGTTCCATATGTAAAGAGCTTAACTATCTCACTACAGGGTTGGCCCCCCCATTGAAGTGTTGAGGCTTAAAAAGAGTAGAGGAATTCTTATTTTTTTAACTATTATTTCAGTTTTTTTATACATTCAGTCATGTTACTTAGCTTGCAAAGTCAAAATTCCAACATGTGTACACTTCACATGGGTCTTGTTGACAATACTATAAGGTTATCTCTCAACAGATAATAACCCATTTCTTTGTCCCATAAATGCCTTGCCTCTCTATTTTTTTTCTTTTATTTCCTTCCTCAGACTCTACTCTTTTACCCTCCCTCTTCCCACACTGTGTCTGGTACTCTTAACCATTTCCTATGTTTCTATATCCTTTAGTCATTCAGTTCAGGCCAGAGAGTGCAGACGATTGGTATATATTAAATGGAGACATACAATGTCTCTCTTTCATAGCCTGGCTTGCTTCACTGAGCAGTAAATCTTCCATATTTCTCCATTTTCTGTGAAAGACCAGGGTCTTGTTTTTTATGGCTGAGTAGTATTCCATAGAGCGTGTGTGCCACACTTTTTCAACTCATTCATCTGTTCATGGGCATTTGGGTTGGTTCCACGTCTTAGCAATTGTGAATAATGTCACAATAAACATCAATGTGCAAGCACTTTTCTGACTAAGCATTCTTCTATCCTTTGGGTAGATACCAAGGAATGAGATTGCTGTGTCATATGGTTGTTCTATTTGTAAATCTTTGAGGAATCTCCAAATTATTCTCCACAGTGGCTGGATCAATTTACATTCCCACCAGCAATGTGAGAGAGTTCCCCTTTCACCACACCCCCACCCACACTTGCCATTTCTTGTTTTTTGTTTGTTTGTTTGTTTGTTTGTTTTGTTTTTAATCTTAGACATTCTGACTGGAGTTAGGTGGTATCTCACTGTGGTTTTGATCTGCATCTCCCTTGTAATGAGGGATATGAAGCATTTTTTTCATATGTCTTTTTGCTATTTATATAACATCCTTAGAGAGTGGTTTTTTTCAACTCATTCTCCCATCTTTTAATGGGGTTGATCATCTTTTTTTGGAACAGCTGCTTGAGTTCCTTGTGTATTCTGGTTATCAGTCCCTTGTATAATATATAGTTTACAAAAATCTTTTCCCATTCTGAGGGCTGTCGATTCACATTAACTACTGTGGATTTTGCCATGCAGAATCTTCTTAATCTGATGTAATACCATTTGTCTATTTTTGGGATTATTGACTGTGCTCTGGGGGACTTATTTAAGAAGTCCTTACCTATCCCAATATCTCCCAGAGTTTCCCCAGTGTTTTCCAGCAACAGTTTTATAGATTGAGGTCTTAGGTTTAGATCTGAGATCCACTTTGAGTTTATTTTTGTCAATGGTGAGAGGTAGGGGGTTCAGATTCATCTTTCTACAGGTGGATATCCAGTTTTTCCAGCACCATTTGCTAAAGAGGTCTTCCTTTTCCCAGTGGAGTGACTGGTACCCTTTGTCAAAAAACAGTTGGCTGTATGTTTTGGATTTTATTACTGGGGAATCGATTCTGGTAGTCTACCTGTCTGTTTCTGTGCCAATACCACGCTGTTTTGATTACCATGGCTTTGTGGTATATTTTTGCATTAGGGAGTGAAATGCTGCCCACGCCATTCTTCTTGTGCAGGATTGCTTTGGCAATATGAGGTCTTTTATAATTTCGGACAAATTGTATGGTTGTTTTTTCTAGATCTGCAAAGAATGTCTCTGGTACTTTGATTGGGATTGCATTAAATATGTAAATTAATTTGCGTAGGATTGTCATTTTGTTTATATTAATTCTTCCAATCCAGGAATATGGAATGTCTTTCCACTTTTTTATGTCATTCTCAATTTCTTTTTTTAGCTTCTCATAGTTTTCCTTGTGGAGGTCTTTAACTTCTTTGGTTAGATTTATTTCTAGATATCTTATACTTTTTGTGGCTATGGAAAATGGAATTACTTTTTTCAGTCCTGACTCAGTTTGCCTGCTGTTCATGTATAGAATGCTATAGATTTCTGTATGTTGATTTTTGTATCCTGAAACTTTACTGTATTCATGAATTACTCCCAGGAAGTTTTTCATGGATACCATCGGGTCTTCTATGTATGCAATCATGTCATCTGCAAATAGAGAGAGTTTCACCTCTTTTCCTATTTGATTGCCTTTTATTTTATTCTCTTTTCTGATTGTGTTGATGAGGACTTCCAATAGTATATTGAAAAGGAGTGGAGAAGGTGGGCATCCTTGTCTTGTACCAGTTTTTAGTTGGAAAATCTTTCAGTTTTTCTCCATTCAGGATGATGTTCGCTATGGGTTTTTCATAGATAGCTTTTATTGTGTTGATAAATGACCCTTCTATGTCAATTTTGCTGATATTCTTGATCACGAATGGATGTTATAGCTTATCAAATGATTTTTCTGCATCAGTTGATATGATCATATGGTTTTTATCTTTATTTCTGTTAATATGGTGTATTACCCTAATGGTTTTGCATATGTTAAGCCAACCATGCATTCCTAAAATAAAGCCTACCTGATTGCGATGTATAATTTTTTTATATGTTGTTGGATATGGTTTGCTAGTATCTTGTTGAGAATATTTGCATCTATATTCATCAGAGATATTGGTCTGTAGTTTTCCTTCCTTGTCCTATGTTTATCTGTTTTAAGGATAAGGGTGATGGAGGCTTCATAGAATGAATTAGGGAGAGATTCACCCTTTGGAATCTTTAGAAATAACTTGAGCAGAATGGGGGTTAACTCTTCTTTAAAAGTTTTGTAGAATTCAAAGGTGAAGCCATCAGGACCAGGGCTTTTCTTTGTTGGGAGATTATTACTGATTCAATCTCCTGATTTGTTATGGGCCTATTCAGATTTTCTATATCCTCCTGACTCAATCTTGGTATATTTTATGTGTCCTGGAATTTGTCCATCTCATTCAGATTTTTTTGTTTGCTGGCATATAGTTGTTCATAGTATCCTCTAATGTTTTGTATTTCTATTATGTCTGTCATTATATTGCCAGCTTCATTGCAAATTTGATTTACATGGTTCCTTTCTCTCTTCTTCTTAATAAATCTCACTAGTGGTGTATCAACTTTGTTTATCTTTTCAAAGAACCAGCTTTAACTTTCATTTATTTTCTGTATAGTTCATTTATTTTCTATTTCATTTATTTCAGATCTTTATTATTTCCTTTCTCCTATACTTTTTTGGATTTTTTGCTGTTGCTTTTCCAATTCTCTGAGGCACAATGTTAGGTGGTCAATTTGCCTTTTTTCCATCTTCTTCTCATGCACACTAATTGCTACGAACTTCCCTCTTATGACTGCTTCTGCAGTTTCCCAAAGATTATGGAGACTTGTGTCCTCATTGTCATTGGCTTCCATTAATCTTTTTATTTTTTTCCTCATGATTTTTTTTTTATTTTACACTTTTTTCTTTATTTACATTCATTCACTGTACATCATTATAGCGTACAAAATGAGATTTTTCCATTGAGAATACACTGTATATTGGCTCAATCAAGCACATCAACATATGTGTTATTGTCAACAAATCATTTTCCATTTCTTGTTTTCTGTATATTTTGCCTTTTTCCCCATTCTTGATTCCCTATCTCACCCTCTGCCATCTCCCACCCTCCTCCCACACTGTGTCTGGTATCTATTGGTGCTTTCTATGCCTCCCCCATTTTATTGTTTCACTAAATATCTTAATAAATCTAAATATTTTCAATAGCAAGCACAGCTGATATGTACATATCCATGAACACAAGACTGACTTTAGGCATAAACCTCAGTGAATAGAATGAACATACTGTAAAGTAGCACCTAACTAGGGCTATATAGCTTAACTGCAGTCATCAAATAGGTATTTCTAATGCCTTTTTTTTTTCTTCTGAAAATTTTTTTTTATTAATTTACATTCATTCCCTGAGCATCATCACAACATTCTAAATGTGATTTCCCATCTAGAATGTACTGTATAGTGGCTTAGTAATGCATGTTATCATCCATAATATTCCATTTCTACTTTCATATATATGTTTTTTTACCCCATGTCTAGCCCTCTGCCCTATTCCACTCTCTTATTACACTATCTCTGCTGTCTACAGTTGTCTTCAATTCCTTTTCCCCCAACATTTCGTTGATCACACAATATCATAAGTAATCTAACTACTTTCAATAGCAAGATCAGCCGATGGTTTCAAGAAAAGCAGTTTTGAACTGGTAAGGATATTTCTTTGAAACTTAAAGCCTAGAAACAGGTTAGTATTCTGTTCAAATAGTCGGAACATGAATCTATTGATAGCTGAAGACAGGACAAAAATCCTTAAAACCGGACAACAAAGCTTAGAAGAAAAGCAGCAATATTTTAGTCAAGTCGTAGAATACTGTTTCATCAGTTCAGTCTCATGTACTTAATCTTTCTTCTGTATCTGTTGAGGTTCGATGTTCCAGATTGAAATCTGGGATGTAATACTCAACTCCAGCTTTTGGCCCTACAATTAAGTTGCCCATTTTCTTAGTTTCTGAACTCTTATTTCTGTGTGTCTGCATTTAATTTTACTGACATAGCACTCCCTTAAGAACTTCTTGGAGATCCGGTCTGGTGCTGGTAAATTCTTTCAGGTTTTGTTTATCTGGGAAAGTTCGTGTCTTTTCTTCCCAAATGAACGATAACCTTGCTGGGTACAGAATTCTCGGTTGAAATTGCTTTTCCCTTAATACTTTGAATACATTTTCCCATTCTCTCCTCGCTCTCATTGTTTCCGATGAGAGGTCTGCCGTTAGTCTGATGGGATACCCTTTGTAGGTAACTTGCCTTTTTTCTCTTGCCAGTCTTAGTATCTTGTCTTTGTCTGTGGTTTTGGTCAATCTGGCTATAACGTGTCTTGGAGAAGATCTTCTTGGGTTGATTCTATTTGGGGTCCTCTGTATTTCTTGGGTCTGAATCTTTGAGTGCCTCTCCAGGTTTGGAAAATTTTCTTGTAAGATTTCATGGAATAGATTATCAATGCCCTTATGAGTCTCTTCACCTTCTGGGATGCCTATTATCCGGATGTTTGGACGTTTGATGGTATCTAGTACTTCTCGCATATTATTCTCAAATTTTTGGGCCATTTTCTCAGTCTTCGCGGTGGATTTTTCTAGGCCAACCATTTTCTCTTCTACATTAGAGATTCTATTTTCTGTATGATCTAGTCTGCTTTTAATACTTTCAAGGGAGATTTTGACTTCTTGTATTATAGCCTTCATCTCTAACAGTTCCATCTGATTCTTTTGTAAAGTGTGAAATTCCTCTTTTAGATCTAGCATGAATTTCCTCACCTCCTGGAACTCTTCAACTCCTTTCTCCTTCCTCTTCAGCAGTTCCTTGTCTCTCTTCTCTTCCATCTCTGTTAGCTTTGCCATTATGAATGTTCTGAATTCTTTATCAGACATTTCCATGATTTCCATTGAACTGTGTGTGGATAAAGAGGAGCTATCCTTTTCCCTTGTGGGAGAGGTATTTTCCTGCTTCCCCATATTTCTTGTGGTCCTGCAGCGATTTCTAGTCATCTGGTGGATGGTCGGTTTCTTCCCAAACTTGGAAGTTCAATCAGAGGGTCGAGGAGTGTGCAGAAAAAGAAGCAGAGAGAGGGAAACAATACCAACAGCAAAAAAACAGACAAGA